ATCAGTAATATTCCATTCACATCTTTTATTTCAGCATCTTTTTCTAATTGAAAAACTAATTTTAATTACGATTTCTGTAAGTCGCGTTCCATCGATCTGCCACTGGTCTGAAAAAGGTTTCCCTGAAAGTGGTCGCGGCCTGGAGAGGCAGGATGTTATAGAAAGTTGGTGGTGTTATGGCTTTTATGTGCTGAACTAATATATCAAACGCTTTTGTTTGTCAGCGATAGCCTAAAGCAGTTTCCTCTTCATTCAAATGGAGCACAGCGTACAAGTCATGCCATTAACACTGTCAAGAGGGGGTGCGGAGTGTTATTAAAATATACATAAAAATATAGGAAAAAAACGAGAGCTAAGCTATGTATTCGTGAATTCTAAGATAGCTTGGGTTCAGCTGAGAGTAATGAAGACACTGGTGAACAAAATTGAAATAATTTTTTGTGACATGGACAAAGCAAGATGGTTATTATGTAAAACGTACCCAACAAGCCGGAAATAGCATTCGATCACCCAAGGTTTTCTTGCAATAAGGCATTTTATTTGCTGCTTATACTCGTAAAATATAAGGATATGTGTGCAAGGGTACTAATAAACACTCGAATAAACAGAATGTTGTTGTCGATGTTTTACGACGATATGTTGCTCCTGAAGTATTTCTTAACAATATCTAGCAATAATCAGCAAGCAAATTGACACTCCATTTGCCTTGATACCTTTTTTCCGTAGCAGAAATGTCTTAGTGAAACCGTTCACTATGTTCATCACTTAACGTACCTAAATTTTTGGGAAAAAAATCGAAATGAGAATCCAAAAAGTGAATTTTTAGAGACATGTTACATCCCATTCCTTTATAAGCATTAATTAGCTCACTCTCAATATCTTTATAATTGTCCGCCTTCACATTGCCTAAAAAATTTGCAGTAACTGATTTCAAGCTCGTAATTCAGTTTCATTTAGAGCACTGTCAAATACGTCATCTTTCATGATTTTCCATATTTGTGGACCCACAAATATGCCCTCTTTAATTTTTGCCTCACTAAGGGCCAATTTCACCAACAACAGTCTTTTTTGATATCCATACATTCATGAAGTTGAATATTTTTCGTTGTTCAGGAACTGAACAAACATCCACACTATATTCACAGCGATTAAGAAATTCCCAAATATATGCCTTAAAGCTACCAGCAAGCCTATAAAACCTGCAAAAAAAACTACAAATTTGCCATATTTTTCTTTTTTCACGAGTACACATTCTAGGTTATATTTATATTAGACAATAGACATTATTTGAATACAGCTGATTATTGCATTTCAAGGAGTGACACATGTGTGGGATCTGTCAACACTTGGTACCAGTCACAAAACATATATACTCTGAAGGTTTAATTCCATGCTATTCAGTCACAACACGGTGACTTGTGTGGCTGTCAGCGGCCATTTTGTGAGGGTGCGACAGGGTTGCCAGATTGTGCATTAATATCCCGTTTCACCCTTATTTTTCATAGCTTCCTGAGAAGGTTTTGCTCTCTGTTTATCTGTATTTTCATTAATTTCGCATTGCTGTTGTGATTCATTACCGGGTTTTATTTTATCTTCTTCGTCTTTTTTAATATTTGAAGCTGACTGTATAATTTGTGTTTTTTCTGCAGGTTTACAGGTTGCCTAAAAATAAAAACTTTATATGGCTTCTGCTAAAGATTCTCTTATTAAGCTACATAAATACAAAGTATGGCGACATATATGGTAAATACAAAACCCTATGGCTTTAAATCTAATATGTTTAAACGAGCAATTCGTTCCGGTCACAAAATACAGGGTCTTACTTTTCTGTATATATTTATAAAACTAACATCCTGTACTTTGTAACCAATTGACGGAATCAATCATAAGAAATAAATCTTTAATATAATGAATATTACCTCTATACTTTGAGATAGGCCATATTTTCTAATCAGTAAAGAGAAACTTTTTGGCGATTTCTAATATTTCTAGTACTCATAGGTACCTAAAATGATTTCGTCACTCACCTTAGAAAAAAAAAAGTTAGTAGATTGGATTTATTCTTAGTCGCCGCTTGCAATTCTTCTTCGATTATCTTAGATACAATAATATCTAGTTCCTTGTCGGATTTTGCTTGTAATTTGTAATTTCGCCACACTTCGTTAACTAACTTTTGTACATTTTGTACTTTCGTACTTGTATGAGATTTTTTAAAACTTTCAAACAATTTTTGGTATAACTTGGATTTGTCTATGTGAAACGACATCTTATTTAAACATTAAACTTTGGCTAATGGAATCAATGGTAACACAAATGTTAACTTGCTTTACTATGCTTACAATACGTCTCCTCGCTACAGTATCCAAACGAAACAATACACTGATACTCGGTTCTAAAGCGAGTAGGGCAATGACCGCGCGCTGTTCACTAAACGTATGCATTATTTGCGGGAATCCCCGAAAATGCGTTTCGTTTTCAAGCAAAGACAATGTGAGGGTTGCCATTCGTGTAAAAAAGTAAATAACTACGTAATCATCATCTAGACTCCCCTACCCCCCATGTCATCCAAAATAAGCAAAGCAAAGACTATACTGCTCACGTAATACTTGAACTGCCCCAAAAGTCGGTGGTAGACATATTGAAAATATGTTGTGAAAATGATAATGATAATAAAAATCATTTATTTTAGGCAATATTTACATTACAATATGTTAATCTAATTTTCACTTAGTTAATTTAAGATGTTAATGATTTCTAATTTTTTCTTTGATTTCAATATTGTAAAAAATTGATTCCTTATACTTTGTCTTCAGACCAATCGAAGCGGATACTTTATAAGACTGCAAACATGGCCTATCTGGATCGTATTCAGTTATCATCAAAATCGATATCTAAATCTTTTGCTTAAATGTTTCTTCAGATAACACCGCACCACCCCCTTTTACGAGCATGTTTTGGTTGAGACCGTCACGTTGCTCCGCCCGATTTAGATAACAATATCGCATAGGCACGGAAGTTGCCGTAATAACTCTGGCAGCAACTTTGGAAGTAATCCGAGACTTCATTCTTTTCGGCTATGATGCAATGCCTATAGCCGGGATTCTTTTTCCGCAGAACGAGAAACAAGAAGCGTAAAACTTCCAGAATTGTGGGAAAGGTAGAGAGAGGGGGTACTGGCAGCGGGAAGTTTCCCAATAATTTCCGGAGATGTCGCCGCAATAAAAGGAGGAGCTTAAACTTTCACTCGTCTCGCCGCTTAACGACCAACCAACTGGACAGAATGTGTCGCGATATACTGGGTGTCCAAGATAAAGGTCATGAACATTGCTGTCACAATGAATGTGGGAAATACAACTTAGGATAATTAGGAACAAGTTGGGTTTTTTGAGGCGTATTTACATGCCGTTTACATTCATGGCTTACTCAATTTGGCCAAATCTTTTATATTATTTTTCCAACTTTATTTTGGGAAGTATCAAGAAATTAATACAACTTTTTCATTGGTACTGTTTTAAGCTTCGTGTCCGACGTTTCATTTTTTAAAAACAGGTGTTCAATTAGGTATTCAGGGTGTCCGCAAAGTTGGGGTTGTCCTTTTCAGAAACAACTACCCTTGAAATAACAAAGGTAATGTGTAGTGAAACGAGGGCGACCAAGTAAAAAAAAATAAAGGAAAAAGTACTCACTCTCCAGTTGACGAGAAGGGCTAAGTACGTCTCTGCCCGAAATCATACCGCTCCAACAGAAAATGAAATCAGCTGATGCGCTACCGAGCAGACGCAGGCGGTGGTGCAGACCACGAACAAATATAACGGCGTTGCCGCGTTTTCAGTTTTTAGGTAAACGTACTTTATAGGTATTGTTCGAAGTTATCGCCGTTTGATTCAAAAACACAGGTGCGTGCACGACGTAGCCAAGCATCGGTGCAGGCTTTGAGAATGGAGTCCCTCCCCCGAATGAAAGCACCAGCTTGTTCAATTCTGAGACGAAGTTCCTCAACCGTATGCACTTCAGTTTTGTACACTAAGCGTTTCATTTCTCCCCAAAGAAAAAAATCACATGGTGTCAAGTCTGGAGATCGCGGAGGCCATGCTGCGGGTCCATTACGTCCGAACCACCTATTCGGAAATAATTCATTCAAAAACTTACGCACTTCGCGTCTAAAACGGGGCGGTGCACCATCGTGCAGAAACCACATTGATTGTCTTACACTTAATGGCACATCATCTAACAAGGAAGGCAAAATGTTGCGTAAAAAGACTAGGTATTGCATCCCGTCCAATCGATTTGGGAGAATAAATGTGAGTTTCAAACTGACATTTTTTTGACCTGAGAAACGATCACTGCAAAATATTTGAACCTTTGCCAAGTCTCAGTTCCCCATAGAGGCCACTCCAATGTTCCGTTGTCATCCCGATAATGCTTCAATTGCTTTTCATCGCGTGTAGGACAATTGAATCAGTTCCCCTCACTATGCACTTGGCTCCTGGTGAATAGACTTTGAAGACAGGCAACTGAAAATAAATAGAACACATTGCGGGTTTAGTGGAATACTCAGTGAGCTGTACACAAGAAGATGACTGCTGCCATCTAGTATAGAATGGATCAAACTAGTTCTGTACGTAGCCAGGTAGCAACATACCACTAATTTGTTTGTATGTGACACTCCCAGATAGTCAGAATTTCCTTAGTTGAACGAACTGGATATGTCTAATGAAAAATTACCTTCCGGATCTGACGTCACCTCCATGAACCACATGGTCAGACCAAATGTTAGTGAAATTAATGATTCCTCATACTGTTAACGAGATGATTACCTTCTATTTGTGAATGAATGAATTTGATCTGTACTTATTTGCCTTTTTAATATTTGGCAATGACTACTTCCCAGGTTTTTTCATTTTAAAAACTGGCGGGATTTTGCCGGAAACGTCCGACACTTTCTACACATTGTAATGTCAGGAAAAAGACGCATCACAGACGCCACGCCCCTGGCAAGATTAATGGGACATTATCACCACCCACTCTTTGTTCAAGGTAATTGCTACCTGTTCCTGAAATCTAACGTCCTCGGATTTGTTCCTGCTTCCAGCTTTCAGCCACTGAAGTTACATAAACGATGAATTTAGCTACTACAACCCGGATTGAAGCTCGGTATTATTGCATTGCAATTTTTGTCATTCATTTGTATGGTCTAGCAAGCACTTGGTCATGGATGACGAACCTGAAGACAGTCAACCATATACTGTTTTCTGGCGCCTACAAAGAGTATTAAATGGTCCTAGCGCCATATGTGGGATACTAGCAGAATACAAAAGTTATACATATATATATATATATATATATATATATATATATATATATATATATATATATATATACTCGTATACTCGTATATATAAATAGAAAAATAATGGGCAAAATCCGCAAAAAGGAGGAAAGTGTATTCGACCAGAAAATAGGATAGGTAGCCCGAGCGATATGTATTTCTGCTGGTTGGCTTCATCAGGCCCGAAATGAATGATAAAGCCAACCAGCAAAAATACGTATCGCTCGGGTTACCTATCCTATTTTCTGCTCGAATACACTTTCCTTCTTTTTGTGGATTTTGCCCATTATTTTCATATTTTTTGTTATATACCTTTCTCCGCATGATCATTTTCTCTTTGTAGATCTTTTGGGCTTGAAGTACCACAGCAAGTGGCTATGACCGGCCGCGTGGTTGTGGTGAGATGTCTCCTTGAAAATTCGAGGTCTTTTAGCCATTTTGTACTATAATGTGTAGGTTGGCTCTTGTTGTGGACTTCGTGTGTGATTTTTTTTCCCTTACCATCTTCGTTTCCTCAGGTTACACCCGTATCAGGATGTATGGGCATGTGTATCTACTTTTTTGGTTACATATGTGCAATCATTTCGGGCCTGATGAAGCCAACCAGCAGAAGTACGTATCGCTCGGGTTAGCTATCCTATTTTCTGCTCCTTTCCTTCTTTTTGCGGAGTTTGCCCATTATTTTCCTATTTTTTGTTACATACCTTTCTCCGCATGATCATTTTCTCTTTATACATATGTATATATATATATATATATATATATATATATATATGTATATATATAGCAAAATCTAGAATTACTGATGGAACAAACATAAACCCAATATCCAACCTTTAAGAGATTTATATTGTCAGCGTAATTTTAACGGCAAACATAATTACACATTTTTATCTTTAACTGAGACAATGGTATGCTAAGGATAAAATAAGTAAATTTAGAAAAGGGACAAATTGTAAAATAAGTCTCAAGTATCCCAGAGACATGGTCACATTTGGAGCAAAATTATTGGAATATAAATAACTGGAATGCGGAGTTGACATAAACGCACCAGTAGAAATCAAGATAAGTGTGATTTATGAATCTGCAGAACCGTCTTTTTATAGTCCACGATATCCCTTGGTACGCAATTCTCGCAGCTGTACCTACAAGTCCAAAGTACTTATTGGTAATACCCTTTTGTATTGAGTATGGTTTCCGAAAGCTTCGGCTTGTTGTTTACACTTTGCGCACGAATTGCGAAATCGAGAAATGAAGACTAGCAATCAAAATATTACACACATAAGCGCCATGACTGCATATAATATTTAGGAATTGCTTCTCAAGAAAGCACACTTAAATTTGATTTATAGTCTTGGTATAACACGCATGGCTCACTATAAAATGCATATTTAGATGAAATAAACTCTTTGTCTTGAGTTTGGACTGGTTACATTCCTTTTTATGCTACGAGGTGTTTCCTTGAATAATGTCATATATCAGCGAATACTGAAAGTACCGATAAACGTAGTTACACATTTTTATCATCTAGGACATTGATTCCCAAAGTGGTCTATATCGACCCCTAGGGGTCTATGACAACCTGCAAGGGGTCTACGTCAGCGAAAAAAAATTTGGGGGTCCATGAAATGAATGTGGGGGTCCACGATAGTGGATCTCAACACATACACTGATAGTACCTATTTACTTACATCATACTATCTTATAATATCAAAACATATACATTATTTATAAAAGTACCTATGAAGTAAAAAATTTATTATTATATATGTTTATAAAATTGTGTAAGTTGTAGGATGTTGCTATTCGCTTTGTGGTCGCAATACATTTTGAACTTGTAAAAACCTGAGAGTCGCAGCCTCAGAGCTTCGCTACCTTGAGCTGACTTGTTCAATTCGCCACTCTATAAATACGAATGTGGGACAAATACGTTTATTCGTTTCCTGAATCTTGAAAAGGAAAGTGCTAAGAAAATATTTTAAAAAATATAAACAGATAGTATATCGCACAAATTATAGTGAGTCAGTGTTATTTTGTTTGAGAGTGCTGGAGAAAAGTAAGTACATTATTTTTTATTAAATTTTAGTTTTGTACTCGTAGCTAGCAAAGATAGATAAATTACGCCAATCATGACTTTAGTTATTAGTAGTTAAATATTCAATCATGCAAAATTACACGAGTACTCCTAAATAGTTTTTGAAAGTTTTAGCAATCGGTAATATAATTGCAGTGCAATCTCCGCAATTCGAGCTAATTGTTGCAAGAAGATGTTCGAATTATGGAATGTTTTCGGAAAAATCAAAAAATATTTTTAATATACAGCTGCTGGATTTTCTGTCTTATTTAAATAATTTAATTTTGCCCACAGATGACTGTTGATTATTTGAAATTTGGCTTCATTCCATCATTGCCGGACAAACAATCGCCTATGTGCCTTTTATGCAACAAAGTTTTGGGCAATGACGCTATGAAACCATCTAAACTGCAAGATCATCTGAGAAGATGCCACCCTTATAAAACAGAGAATGATTTGAAATACTTTCAAACACTCAAAGATAAATTTCAGAACCGACCTACACTGGGCAGAATGTTCGCTTCGACGTCACAAAGAAATGATGATGGTTTGCGAGTGTCTTACAATATCTCGTTACTTATAGCAAAATCCGGAAAACCGCATACTATCGGAGAGAAGTTAATTTTGCCAGCCGTTGACGAGGTTTTAAAAACTGTTTTACACAAACCTGCATCTGATATCATTAAAAGAATTCCCTTAAGCAACAATACTGTTGAAAGACGTATTGATGAAATGAGTTCTGATATTGAAAGCTTCTTATGTTATTATTTGCAAACGACCCATTTCTCTATACAACTGGACGAGTCAACTTTACCTGATAATGCAGTATTATTATTGGCATATTTTCGTTTTATTATGAATCAAGAAATCTACGAAGAACTGCTCTTCGCAAGAACTTTGATAACCGACACTAAAGGTGAATCAATATTTCATGTTTTGAAGGATTACTTCATTGAAAAAGCAATTCCTTTATCAAATTTAATATCAGTAGCTACCGATGGACCACTTGCCATGGTTGGACGTTATCGTGGATTTATAAGCTATTTAAAACAAAATGTGTCAGGGGTGTTAGCAATACATTGCGTCATTCATCGACAACATTTAGTCGCTAAAAATTTGAGTTTTAGATTGCATGAATAACTTCATTTAGTCATTGATGCAGTAAAACGAATCCGAAGCAACGCGTTGAATACGCGGTTATTTGCGCAGTTGTGTGAAGAAAATGACGAACACTTTCATCAATTACTCCTTCACACTGAAGTACGCTGGCTGTTGAAAGGCTTATGCTTGACAAGATTTTTTGCACTTTTTGAGACTATTTTAGAATTTCTGGATACTAAAGATAAAACTTTAAAAGAAAATTTAATGAAGAAGAAAACATCCTTCTCACTAAAAATATTGACTCATTGCTTATGTTATTTTTTTTATAGTTTATTTTATGTTTATTGGTGTCTGACCAAAAAATGCCCGCATTGGGTATAAGTGCCCGCATTGATTTTTTTAAAGAACGCCCCTTTATAGAAAATACTTTTTTTTTTTAAATTATTCAGAAAATTCAAGGATAGGTACACACTAAAATTAATTTTTTGCCTATTTTTAGATAACTTAAACGTATAAGAAGCGGAATTTAATCAAACTAACAGTGAAATTATTGTAGAACATACGTTTATGTTATAATTAATAAACGAACTCGCTTATTGTACTATTTTAAGTAAAAAACTTTTTTTTTTATTATTTTTGACTTTTTTTTATTTTATCCCTCTTATTTTTTTTTTTCAATACGGGCACTTATTTCCAATGCGGGCACTTATTGGTCAGACACCTGTTTATTTAATGTTACGTATATTTTACATAACAGATACAAAATTTTATTTTGAGTATTTTTAATTTAAATTCAATTAATAAATGTATAAATTAACATGTGTTTTTACTTTAAGTTTTTAACACTAAACTTCACTACAGTTAGAAATTTACAGGAAATCAATATCAGGTAAGTACTGGTAGACCCCCAACATGGAAAAACATGGCAAGGGGTCTACGACACAAAAAAGTTTGGGCAACTCTGATCTAGGATAATGATTATGCCCGTAAAATATTATTTAAAAATTAAAACAGCTAAGAATAGAATACGTAAATTTAGAAAAAGGGTAGATTGTCCCTCGAGACATGGTCACGTTTGAAGCAAAATTATTGAAATATAAATACCTGGAATGCAGGGTTGACCTACTTGACACAAACGCACGAGCAAAAATAAACATAAATCTGATTTGCGAATCGTCAGAACTGTCTTTTTATAGTCTGCCAAATCCCCTGGTAGTTACGAGGTTCTATGAGTATCAAGAAAGTACTTGGATTAATTTTAATAGTATTATCCCTTCTTCAACGCTGTATTCATCGAAACACATCTACTTGAGCTCAACTTCGTCCTTAATTAAGCGCCGCTTAATATGAATTATAATCAAGACACGCATCGCACCGCCGAGTGCATCCATGCATTGTAATTGCTGTCTGTTATTTTGCAGGAAAGACACCCCGATGCATCTGGAAAGTACCTCCAGTTGTCTGGAATCGGCAGACTAGACAGAAGGTAAGTGGAATTCGGCGCAGTTGCACAATTTCCAATTTATGATTCGGCAGACGGCGATGTCTGGAGGGTGATTGAAGGGCGTCTTTGCTTAATTGCGTCGCTTAGACATTGTTTGGAGTTGTATGTGAGATATGATAAGTTCATGATTTTCAATATGATGAAATAATCGACAACGCAAAGTATACTAAGTGACATATAAATCCGAACACCCAGTTTAACTGGTTTTATTTTAATAAAATTTTGACCGTTGTCTGCACCACTCAAGGCGATCACGTCGGTGTTCTCGAGTTAAAGAGAGGACCCAGTGCGGCCGGTATGAAAACAAGCCAAAACTTCTCATTCGTCGGTAAACACTTCGCATGCCAATAGGTCTTCCGTGTTCTGCAAACCATTCATTTGCAATGGACCTGGTAGTGGAGAAACGGTCCCTTAAGGCCAATAATCTTAGGCGGCGATCTTCACGGTCTGTTGTTCTACGGCGGCGTCCAGTGTCCCTTGCTCTTTGCGTACGACCTTCTCGGAGCCATGCCTGACAACACCTAACCACAGTGTCTACACTTCTTTGCACTCTAACTGCAATTGCCCGAAAAGAAAGTCCAGCTTCCCGAAGTCCCACTATACGTCCCCTATCAAACTCACTAAGTTGACGAAATCGTACAGGTCTCCGTACTCTAGGCATCGTAACCGATCGTAAAGGATGTCAAGAACCAAAATCCGCCAACGTTCATTCTTTACTGTGGCTGAAATATTCATTTTTAGAGCGTTAGTGAATTAAAAAAAGCAGTATAAAAACCGGAATGTCCAACTGATAAGACTGAAAATTTTTTCACTTCTTATTTACAGTAAGATAAATACATTCACCAACTTTTATTAAAATAAAACCATTTAAACTGGGTGTTCGGATTTATATGTCACTTAGTATATATCTAACTTCAAAAACCTTGGACATGCAAGAGGATGTTAAGAACGATAAACTGTGCTGGGCAACCATCCAAACTGCAGAAACAAGTTTTGCCGTGTTTCCTGTGGCAGATCTTCCAACAACAACGGTAATCAATTGGCCAAAACGTCCAGGAAGACATCACCATTTAGGCCCGTATCATCAGTCGTCCCTACAATTGTAGGGCGCCTTTATGGCCTCCATGATTGTCATAGTTTTCTACTTCTGCGTGTCAGCGTTCTATTTTGAGGTTATGTCACAAACATCTATTTCCATCAAATTGTGCTTGCTTTTGAGTTATATCATGTCTTATCAGCCTGAAATTTCCTACAATTTAAAACGAAAACATGTCTTCACAATAGGAGAGCGCTGACGCTGACACGGGACAAGTGTAATCTAGAAATTTTTGAAAGATAGAAAGGAGTATGACAATCAAGGAGGCCATAAACGCGCCCTACAATTGGGCCATTGAAAGCTAGGATGGTCCAAGTCACAAAGAGACGTTTCCGAGATTTAAAGTTTAGATGTGGCTGATAAATCTAGAATAATAAAACTGCAGTAAGAAATCAAAATACCCTTAAAGATAGAATCAATTTAAGTATCTTATCATAAATTACATGAACATTTTGTGTTCATGTGTTTTTTTTTTTTCATATGTTTAAGCTTTAGCCCACTCTGCCTTAAAACGGTTCTTACGTTTTGGTTTCATACTTGTATAACGATTATAGTAGAGTATTAAAGTAGAGTTACAAAAAATTATGTGAATTGATAATTTTATTACAAAACGACAGAAATCAATCTCCATACAGTAAAAAAATAATGTATATTTTCTACACAAAAACTGTACTGTACTGACACGACGTTGTGGAATTTCTGGAAATTCTCGAGCCTGTTTGCCTTCTCCTTCTTCTTCTTCTTCAGTAACAAGCAGTCGTCCGGTATCTGTCTTCAGATTCTTGAAAAAACTGTGATGAACTGGTGGTATGAATTGGAGAAGCTCTTCCATGCTTTTCTTCTTTTTGTCGTTGACAGGAAGAGGGGATTCATACAAAGGAGGTAGGTTTATGTTTTTGGGTGCGCCTTTTCGATTTGGTAGTAAATTTATAAAATCATATGGAAATTCTTCGTTCAAAGTATCTTTATAAAAAATTTTGTAAGGTTCTTTTTTATCAAAGTGTAGCCACTGTATCTGTATATTTTCTTTCGTCTTGTTACAGCTTTCTCTAATGTTGTTGATGAGAAAAAATCAGACCGTTCCATTTCACAGACGTAAAAGGGTTTCCTGGGTCTGCATGTTCTTATTGTTGTATACCAGTCTTCTGGCACGTACTTGACGCTATTTTATGCCCGCTTGACACTACTATTGAAAACCAGAGTGGGTTAAGTCACACTTGTCCCATACTGCCACAAAGCGGTTACAGCTTTCCATTGACATATAAAACAGACTGGTGCCATCTGTGTGCAAAACGAAAAGATACATTTTTCAAAACTGTCTCAGACAAAGATTCATCCATCCAGAACAGTATACACATAGAACCTCGGTATCTGAAAATTTGGACTTGGACCATCCTGGCTTTCAACGGCTCAATTGTAGGGACGACTGACGATACCGGCCTAAGGGATTTCTCGGAAAAATATGGCCCAATAACACTGGACAACAAATTTTAGTTTTTTAATTGTATCTTGTGGGAAAAGTGCACTTCTTTGTTAATTTTGCGGCGCTGAATCCAAAAATGACAATGAAATAAAAAATTAGTTGCGGTTTAGAAAAAAAACTTTTTATTTTTAAGGATATATTAAAAAAGTAACAAGATTCATATACTTATAAGAATCACTATATGCGCTATGTTTTTGCTGTTCTTTTATGGATCGTTTCTGGAGCATCTCTACCAAGAGTCCAACAGTAGTCTGCAAGCATGAAAGGATTCCACTTTCCCTGGTACCTTTTTTCCATTGTTGAAATATCCTGATGAAAACGTTCGCCGTGCTCATCACTTACGGCTCCGCAATTGTCAGGAAAAAAGTCCAGGTGTGAGTGTAGGAAATGTAACTTAAGAGACATATTACAGCCCATCTCTTGATACGATAACAGCATATTTTTGACAAGGGTTTTATAGTTGTCAGCTTTTCTATTTCCCAAGAAATTAGTGACCACCAGACGGAAATCATTCCAAGCCGTTTTTTCAATACCTGTTAAAGTGTTTTCAAACTGTGTATCTTTCAAAATATTTCGAATCTGTGCCCAACAAAAATACCTTCTTTAACCTTTGCCTCACTTAGTCTTGGAAATTTCTGACGCAGGTATTGAAACTTGATATGCAGTGGTGGTAATAAAATTTTTTTCGAGTCTACTAATGGCATATGCTGTACATTTTTTTGACCTGGCTCTAGGAATTGACGAACAGGCCAGTTTTGTCTGGTGTAATGAAGTGCCTTTGCCCGACTGACCCATTCACACAAAAAACAGCAAAACTTTGTATAGCCTAGCTGCAGCCCAAGTAAAAGTGCAACAACTTTCAAATCGCTACAAATATGCCATTGGTGCTCATCGTATTTTATGCATGTCAATAGGTACTTCATATTGTCATATGACTCTTTCATGTGAACTGCATACCCTACAGGAAGAGATGGTAAAATATTTCCAATATGCAATAACACTGCCTTTCAACTCAATGTTGAACTGTCTATAAACAATCTCCATTCCTCTGGGTTATAGTTTATATTTAAAGCCGCCAGTAAGCCGTTAATGTTACTGCAGAAAACCAAGTTATTCTCCATATTGAAAAATGGTTCTAAGTCTTTGTGGCGTTTACGAAAAACACATACCGAAACATCGTCTTCTAACAAGTTCCACTGCTGCAGTCTTGATCCAAGTAACTCTGCCTTACATTTTGGAAGTTCCAAATCTCATACAAGATCATTTAATTCTGACTGTGTTATTTTGTGCGGTTGGTGGCATGACGTGCTCGGTATAAAATCAGGATCTCTTGACGTTGATGGCATATCTTCTTCCTGACGAATCACTCGATCGCCATGATCTGATTCGTTTTCTGATTCGCAAGTGTAGGATTCTGGGGGTTTTGGAATAGGATTTTCGTCACTGTGAGGTAGAGGTCTCATCGCAGATGGTATGTTTGGGTAGTTAATAACCGATTTTTTTTTCTTGGACATACCTGTGGCTTGTCCAACACAAGGTACCATGCAAAAGTGACAATCATTAATATGATTTGTAGGCTCTCTCCAAACCATTGGGACAGCAAAGCGCATAGACCGTTTTTTGCCATTTAACCAGCTCCTCAGACTTGAAGCACATGTATTACAGCAGATGTGGGGTGCCCACTGTTTGTCTTGATCACCTAGTTTACAACCGAAATAAAGCTGATATGCCTTTGTTATTAGTGGAGTAATAGACCGTCTCTGAGACGCAAAAGTCACATCACCACACACGTAACAAAACTGATCTGGATTGTTTACACACTTTCGAGACATCTTGCATGAACGCTGTCAGCCAACTGAGGAAAAAATGGCTAATATAAAACAATATAATGTACACGTATGTATAACGTAACACAATCATGCCGATTACATCACCTTTCCTTGCCGAATATAAAAATGTAGCACGTGCATTCTTGTGAATTACAGTATATTAACACTGTCACAGCAGGAACACATATAATTACCGTATCTCTAAAACTTGAACTAATATTGAAAAAATAAGTTTTATTCCGGTTTTAGCACATTAAAAATAGTAATATTTTGTTAATTTTATTTAGGATATTTTTTGGCTGTTGATCAGTGTAATTCTGCCTCTCAGTATGCCACACCACACATTTGAACTCCAACGCCCTTGGTGCTGAACGTCACACAACCAATGCGGATTTTCTGCAGACCAGTGATATTGGGCAGATCGACTGCGCCATCAGGATTAAAGGTGGCTTCATCGGCCCAAAGAATTTGAAATAAAAATTCTATATTTTGGCGTACCATGCCTAAGATCCAATTTTAGAATTATTTATGTTTTGGTTAGGTATTTACTTTATTGTGTTCCATTGCCTGCTTCTATTATTTTTGTTTTTTTATATACGAGCCCCTTCCCACTTCAGTTGGCCCACTTCAAGATTTGTACCAAAATATGCCTTTATAAACTAAACATGACGAAACTATTTACTTCTAAAACAATTTGTTTTCTCAAAAACATTTTAGATACACTCTAGTCGTAAAAAATACATGTTTGAAATCACTTAGACCTATAACTAATAGAACATCTGAACAATGTACGAATAAATGCGCGACGTTAACAAAGCAACAATTGAAAGATTACCATTGGGTAACATCACCTTTATTTTTTATTACGGCTGAAATTGTTTGGGGCATAGTGTTAACCAAGTTTTGGCAAACATTTGGTATAAAACAATCCCACATTTCTTGAAGCTTTTGTCTCAGTTCGGTGATTGTACGAGCATGATGTTGTCATAGAACCTTGTTCATCTCGTGCCACAAAGTTTCAATAGGTGACAGATCTGGACTGCTAGACACCCATTTCAAAAGTGGTACATTATTTTCTTCCATCCATTTTATAGCCTTTTTTGAGGTATGGCACGCTGCACCATCTTGCTGAAACACAAAATCTTGGCTGGATGTCAAACATTCTTCCATCACTGGTAAAAGCGATTCTTTTAAAATTGCCAAATATTTGTTTGTATCCACATTTCCATCAATAAAATGAAGTTTTTTTACTCCTTTTGATGACATACTGCCTCAGACCATAATGGATGCTGGAAATTTCACTTTTCTCTTCAAACAGTCAACATTTTTATTATTTGTGTTTGATAAGAAAAAACTAAGATTTCAATAGTTGGGCCAACTGAAGTGGGAAGGAGCTCGTATACCCATAGTGCATATACGCATTTAAACAAAAAATATGCCTGGAAAAGTAGTCTGAATGTTGCATGAGAGTGAAAAAACTTTCAAACGGATGCATGCCGAGAAATATATACAAACCGTAACTAAACATCAGGCCCCTAAGTTGATATGACAGATGTATACAACAGCGTTAGCAATTAGCAATCAAATTATGACAGCAATTATTTGAAAAAGACCGCATCGCACACAACGAACATCGCTTTGGCTACAAATTGATAACCGCATCGATATCGCATTAGATTTTAACCAAGGCGCAGAACAGCTGAACCAACTACCGACCACATTACCGCATTTCGCGTATTTATCGTTGGATTTCCGCGAATACAGTTTCATTAGCTAATTTAGATCGCACTGTAAAATTAATAGATAATGATGTGAAATGTACCATTTGGCCTTACATTGGCCATTAGATAGAGGGCTAGTATGGCAACCCTGAATAGGGAGTCCTCAAAGTGACTTTAAAATAACCGAGATATTAGGTTCTAAATGAACCAGTATCATCTCCCTCACACAATCAAAACGTTTGATGTAGCAACATCATGTGAGTCAGTATCCAAACATGTAACACTCGTGCCAGGGGGGTGGTTGTAGATGCACTTCTCTGCACGATGAATGTTACTTCTGGGGTTCGAAGTGGTTGTTGATTTGGAGGATTAGGGCGCCGGGGGAAATGAAAAGATTGCCTGAAGGGTGCTATTTACAAAGTTTGCAACAAACTACCTGAAGTAAGCTCAAAATTTCACTTTGCAATGGTTAATCGATCACCTAATAACAAATGAAAACGAACATTAGTGACTTACCAAGTTTCCGGGGGTATGCATACCTCAGGATCACACCAGCTGTGAAGTTAGGATAAATAATTCATATTAAGTGAAATTAGCTGCTTAAGTATATAGATGCAGTTCGACGGGGTTTCAGCACATGGCGTCTGTGGACATTGGCAACAGCTGAATCAGCTCCCTTCCTCAGGGGCTGCTTGGAACTCTCATTACAGGGCATGGCGTGCAAAAGTCGTCAGGGCTTCATCTGAAGTAGTTTGGTGGAGAAAACGTAAGGTGAAGAAGACGAAAAGTTGGAAGAAGATGAAAAAGTTGGAAGAAGATGAAAAAAAGGCCTCTGTTGGAGTGTGGCCTAAAAGTGTCGGCTAGAACGCCGTAAAAGCGTCGAAGACTCCCACATCCCCGTAGGATTATATGAGACATAAAAAGGAAGTA